GTCCATGTCAATGCAGAGGAAGAGTGTCCTTCTTCAGATGTCTATGTCACTGCAGAGGTCTATTGTTCTTCTTCAGGTGTCTATGTCACCGCAGAGAAGGAGGAGTGTCCTTCTTCAGGTGTCCATTTTACTACAGAGGAGAGTCCTACTTCAGGTATCCATATCACTGCAGAGGAGGAGTGTCCTTCTTCAGATGTCTATGTCACTGCAGAGGTGGATTGTTCTTCTTCAGGTGTACAAGTCACTGCAGAGGAGGAGTATCCTTCTTCAGGTGTCCATGTCACCTCAGAGAAGGAATGTCCTTCTTCAGGTGCCCAAGTCACTGCAGAGTAGTTTTCTTCTTCATGTGTCCATGTCAACACAGAGGAGTGCCCTTCTTCAAGTGTCCATGTTACTGCAGAGGAAGAGTTTCCTTCTTCAGGTATCTATGTCACTGTAGAGGTGGATTGTTCTTCTTCAGGTACCATGTCACTGAAGAGGAAAAGGGTCCTTCTTCAGGTTTCTTTGTGACTGCAGAGAAGGAGTGTCCTTCTTCAGGTGTCTATGTCACAAAAGAGAAGGAGAAGTGTCCTTCAGGTGTTCATTTTACTGCAGAGGAGGAGTGTCCTTCTTTATGTGTCCATGTCACCGCAGAGAAGGAGTGTTCCTCTTCAGGTACCATGCCAACGCAGAGGAGGAGTGTCCTTCTTCAGGTGTCCATCTCACTGGAGAGGAGTAGTTTTCTTCTTCAGGTGTCCATGTCAACGCAGAGGAGGAGCATCCTTCTTAAAGTGTTCTTGTTACTGCAGAAGAGGAGTGTCCTTCTTCAAGTGTCAATGTCACTGTAGAGGTGGATTGTTCTTCTTCAGGTGTATATGTCACTGCAGAGAAGGAGGAGTGTCCTTCTTCAGGTCTCCAAGTCACTGCAGAGCAGGAATGTCTTTCTTCAGGTTAAGAAGTCACTGCAGAAGAGGAGTGCCCTTCTTCAGGTGTTTATGGCACTGCAGAGGAGGAGTGCCCTTCTTCAGGTTTCTATGTCACTGAACAGGAGGAGTGTTCTTTTTCAGGTGTCCACATCACTGCAGTGGAGGAGTGTCCTTCAGCTGTCCATGTTAATGCCGAAGAGGTGTCCTTCTTCTGGTGAACATGTCACCACAGTGGAGGAGTATCCTTCAGGTGTCCATTTTTTGTCATAAGTTAGAGGTTGGGTTGCAGCCTGGGATGAGTCAGCCTGGGAATGAGGTAATGAGTTCACCTCAGGACACGCTGCGAGGCTCTAGAGGTCATGGATTCTGGAGCCCTCCCACCCTTCCAGAAACAGAGAACTTTCTGGAAGACTGGTGGATGAGGGAAGGAAGCCCAGATCTGCATGTTTGAGGGAACTTGTCCAATCCCCAGGTAGGAGGCCGGGCATGATGACCAAGGACAACCCTAAATTTGGCAGAGCCTGAGCAGCAGGGGAGTTGGATAGGATAGAAGATGGAGTGAGAGAAGGCTGGAGTGTGGAGCCTAGGAAGGGGCTCCGGGGAGGTTGGCAAATCCCTTGTTGGCAAACACAGAGGTCAGACGTTTCCTGTAGTTGGTCACCAGGTTTGCACACATCTCAGGAGGGATTTTGGCCCACTCCTCTTGGCAAATCCTCTCCAAGTCATTAAGATTTGGTGGCTGACATTTGGTAACTCGAACTTTCAGCTCCCTCCACAGATTTTTAATCGGATTAAGGTCTGGAGACTGGCTAGGCCACTCCAGGACCTTAATGTGCTTCTTCTAGAGCCACTCCTTTGTTGCCTTGGCCATGTGTTTTGGGTCATTATCATGCTGGAACACCCATCCACGACCCATTTTCACTGCCCTGGCTGAGGGAAGAAGGTTCTCACCCAAGATTTGATGGTACATTGCTCCGTCCATCGTCCCTTTGATGCGGCACAGTTGTCCTGTCCCCTTAGCAGAAAAACACGCCCAAAGCAGAATGTTTCCACCACCATGTTTCACAGTTCGGATGGTGCTCTTGGGGTCATAAGCAACATTCCTCATCCTCCAAACACGGTGAGTTGAGTTGATGCCAAAGAGCTGGATTTTGGTCTCCTCTGACCACAACACTTCCCACCAGTCCTTCTCTGCATCACTCAGATGTTCAGTGGCAGACTTCAGACGGGCCTGGACATGTGCTTTCTTGAGCAGAGGGACCTTGCGGACACTGCAGGATTTCAGTTCTTGTCGGCGTAGTGTGTTACCAATTGTTTTCTTGGTGACTGTGGTCCCAGCTGCCTGGAGATCATTGACAAGATCCTCACGTGTAGTTCTGGGATGATTCCTCACTGTTCTCATGATCATTGACACTCCACGAGGTGAGATCTTGCATGGTGCACCAGACCTAGGGAGACTGACACTTTGTTTTGTGTTTCTTCCATTTGTGAATGATTGCACCAACTGTTGTCACCTTCTCACCAAGCTGCTTGGCCATAGTTTGGTAGCCCAGTCCAGCCTTGTGTAGGTCTACCATCTTGTCCCTGACCTCCTTGGACAGCTCTTTGGTCTTTGCCATGGTGGAGAGTTTGGAATCTGATGGTTTGATTGCTCCTGTGGACAGGTGTCTTTTATACAGGTAACAAAATGAGATTAGCAGCACTCCCTTTAAGAGACTGCTTCTAATCTCAGCTTGTTACCTGTATGAAAGACACCTGGGAGCCAGAAATCCTGCTGAATGATAGGGGATCAAATCCTTCTTTCCCTCATGAACATGCAGATCCGTCATCATTTGTTAGACATGCATTTCTGCTGAATTTGTTGTTGCTATTCTGTCTCTCAGTCAATACACCGAACATTCGTTTTTAGAGCGATCATTTCTTTGTGAGCGGCGAACATTCAACATCAGCAGGGGATCAAATACTTAGTTCCTTCACTGTATGTGCCATGTTTAGGAACTCAACACCATTTGTTCCTAATGTTACCATCCCTCTTTTATTTTAGTCCCACTTCACAACTGCCAATTGTGTGCAAGCATTTGTAATGTCTTTAAAGAAAAAAAAAACTTCAATAAAAAATGATTGTTCAAAAAAAAAAAAAAAAAAGAAGACTGAATGAAGGGCCCTACATTGCACCAAAGCACGTAATGCGCCTTGCCATTGGTGGTGGTGACACGGTGTGAATGAGCCCCAAGTGTAGGTGCTTTTCTTTAATGCTCAGTAGAAGTGATGTAGATGTTCTGGGAAGGGGGCAGGCGAGTCAGCCATCGGGTAATAGCATCCCCGGGCAGCTATAAGGAAAATTAAGAAGATTCACCTCCCTCCCTGCCGTATTTCAACCCAACAAGTATCGACTGCTCACATTTCTTATCATCACTTAAAATCTACCTACTGTACATGGAAAATGCTTCAAACGCTGGAGAAAGCCTCCGGAATCTCCTTATAGACACTCAATGTGTCCCAAGGGGCAATTTAATGTGAAGAATTCTCCGTCCTTGTTCTGAAGAGGCATTGATTTGTTTTTACTTCTGCCCACTTAGCATCCAGAAGGAGGCAAAAAAAAAAATCTTTGTCTATAATCCTCTAATTAAGCCTCAGGGCTTTGAATCATTGTAACTGCAGTGCCAAGCTTTTCTTATTTGACGGCGTGCTTAGAAAAGCAACATTTTATATGTGAGGGTGACGGCTTGCAAGATTTACAAGGAAGTTGCTCGTCATCAATTCAGCAGAAACAAAAAAGTTTCTGGCAGGGAGCGCACTTACGGATCTGACCTGAGCGAGAAGTCAGGAAAACGCCGGGAAACGCTCCATTATACAGCACAGGTCATTGGAGGAACATTGAAGAGGAACTTCACGGAGGAAGAAGAAAAAGCTGACCGTGCCAACGGAGAAAATCTGTACAATAGGTTCACTTTCAGTTCAGCTGACCCTTAGATCTAGGAGTGCAGGGTTGTCTTATTGCATGGGAACCACTGAGCACTGCCCAGGGGCCGCAGGTGCATGGGGGCCCTAAGATAATCCAACATTACATCATTCTTCCCAACTGTCCCAGATTTGCCGGGACAGTCATTGTTTTTACTAAGCTGTCCCAGGATGGCCCGAGCAGCATCCCAGAACCTGTACTGTGCCCTCCTGATCCCTGTACTGTGCCCCCCTGATCCCTGTACTGTGCCCTCCTGATCCCAGTATTGTGCCCTCCTGACTCCCCCTGTATTGTGCCCTCCTGATCCCAGTATTGTGCCTTCATGACTCCCCCTGTACTGTGCCCTCCTGACTCCCCCTGTACTGTGCCCTCCTGACTCCCTCTGTACTGTGCCCTCCTGATCCCAGTATTGTGCCCTCCTGATCCCTGTACTGTGCCCTCCTGATCCCTATACTGTGCCCTCCTGATCCCTGTACTGTGCCCTCCTGACTCCCCCTGTACTGTGCCCTCCTGATCCCAGTATTGTGCCCTCCTGATTCCCCCTGTACTGTGCCCTCCTGATCCCCCTGTATTGTACTCTCCTGACTCCCCCTGTATTGTGCCCTCCTGACTCCCCCTGTAATGTGCCCTCCTGATCTCAGTATTGTGCCCTCCTGACTCCCCCTGTACTGTGCCCTCCTGATCCCAGTACTGTTCCCTCCTGACTCCCCCTGTACTGTGCTCTCCTGACTCCCCCTGTACTGTGCCCTCCTGACTCCCCCTGTACTGTGCCCTCCTGACTCCCCCTGTAATGTGCCCTCCTGACTCCCCCTGTAATGTGCCCTCCTGATCCCCCCTGTACTGTGCCCTCCTGATCCCCCCTGTACTGAGCCCTGTGTATTGATTAGACTTTGATTTATGGCATGTTTTCTTATTGTTTAAAATCAATTTTATTGAAAGTGCTAATAAATCTGTGTAATTCTGTCAAGTATTTATACTTTAATTATTTAGAGCTGGTGTGTAAATTGGGGCAGGCTGGTAGGGGCCCCAGTTCATTACTTTGCCCAGGGGCCCATGATTCTATTGTTACTATTGCTATTGATATAGGAATGCACCCGTTACTTAAAGCAAATATTAAACCCATAAGCACTGATGGGCACAGGTGGGCGGGCACTGATGGGCACAGGTGGGCGGCACTGATGGGCACTGATCTCCAGGGCACCTGATGATCAGTGCTGATCTGTTCACTGACAATTGCCAGTGTCCGCAGTACTTCCTCATGCTGTGACAGTGTGAGGAAAGTGCAGCCCAACCGGCAACTGTATTTACCTGGTGATCTGCTGTATCATTGGACACAGCTGATCACATGGTCAAAGGCTGCTGTGATTGGTCTTTTACCACGTCCATAGGGCACAGCGATTATGGAGATCACTGGGCGTTAGCTCCACCCAATTGTGCAGTGATTGGCAAAAGCATTACACCTAACCCTTTTTCCTCACCCCCCCTCTCTCTCACCCCCCCTCAATCTCACCCCCCTCTTTCTCTCACCCTCCCTTTCTCTCTCTCACCCCCCCTTTTCTTTCACCCCCTCTATCCCCCCGCTCTCTCTCCCCCCTCCCCTTTACCGCCTTTTCTCTCTTACTCCACCTTTCTTTCTCATTCCCCTCTCTCACACCCACCCCATCACCTCTCTCACACCCCTTTTTCTCTCACCTCCCTCTTTCTCACCCCCTCTCTCACCCCCTCCCACCCTCCTTTTTCTCTCATGCCCCTCTCTCGCACCCCCTCTCTCTGACTCCCTCTCTTGCACCTCCTTCTTTCTCTCACCCCCTCTCTCTCACCCCCTTCTTTCTCTCACCCCTTTTCTCTTCCCCTTCTTTCTCTCTCACCCCCTCTCTCACCCCATTTTTTCTCTCACACCCTTCTCTCTCACTGTTCTCTTTCTCTCACCACCTCTCTCTCCACCTTGCTCTCAACCCCTCTCTCTCACCCCCCTTTTTCTCTCACCCCCTCTTTCCGCCCTTTCTCTCTTACTCCGCCTTTCTTTCTCATTCCCCTGCTCTCACCCACCCCACCACCTCTCTCTCATCCTCCTCTCTCACCCTCTCTCTCTCTTTAAGTTTTTAACTTCAATGTTCTGAAAAATAAACTTTTCCCTAACTTTCTGCTGAAGTGATGTTACTGCCGGATGCTAAATGGTGTCAGAAAGTCTCCCATCCTTTAATTGCTATTATCATAACGACCTCAGGAAAGTTTGGAAACTTTGGTCAAATTCTCACAGAAGCGGCTGCTGCTCATGACCCGCCCGGATTAACTCTGATTATTCCGCTAATGAACAATTAACCTTCGTCTGGGAGGGAAGCGATTACTCGGATCCTTTACAACTTAATTCTATACCTTGTAATTATGCCGTATCCGCGACGTGCAATATCTGCGTGCAGCAGCAGGACCAGTATCTGCTCTTTTGTGCAAGGAGGAACAGGAGGAGCCCTGCCAGAGCCCTGCAAAGTGACCTCCAGCAGGCCACAGGTGTGAATGTCTCTGACCAAACAATCAGAAACAGTCTTCATGACGGGGGCCTGAGGGCCCGACATCCTCTAGTGGGCCCTGTCCTCACTGCCTGGCACCATAGACCTCAATTGGCATTTACCATTGAACACCAGAATTGGCAGGTCCACCCTGTGCTTTTCACAGATGGGAGCTGGTTCCCCCTGAGCACATGTGACAGACGTGAAAGGGTCTGGAGAAGCCGTGGAGAACGTTCTGCTGCCTGTAACATGGTTCAGCATGACCGTATTGGTGGTGGGTCAGTGATGGTCTGGGGAGGCATATCCATGGAGGGACACACAGACCTCTACAGGCTAGACAATGGCACCCTGACTGCCATTAGGTATCGGGATGAAATCCTTGGACCCATTGTCAGACCCCACGCTAGTGCAATTGGTCCTGGGTTCCTCCTGGTGCAGTGGGTCCTGGGTTCCTCCTGGTGCAGTGGGTCCTGGGTTGCTCCTGGTGCAGTGGGTCCTGGGTTGCTCCTGGTGCAGTGGGTCCTGGGTTGCTCCTGGTGCAGTGGGTCCTGGGTTCCTCCTGGTGCAGTGGATCCTGGGTTCCTCCTGGTGCAGTGGGTCCTCGTGGTGCCCAACAATGCCCGGTCTCATGTGGTGAGAGTATGCAGGGATTTCCTGTAGGATAGAGGAATTGATACCATTGAATGGCCCCCACGCTCGCCTGACCTAAACCCAACAGAACACTTCTGGGATGTCATATTTCTGTCCATCCAACGCCAACAGGTTGCACCTCAGACTGTCCAGGAGCTCAGGGCATCCAGATCTGGGAGGAAATCCCCCAGGACACCATACGTGGTTTCATTAGGACCCTCCCCCGACATTATCATGCATGTATACAAGCACATGGGGGCCATACAAACTACTGAGGACCATTCTGAGTTGCTGCAATGACATTTCACAAACATGGACTCGCCTGCTGCATCATTTTTTCACTTTGATTTTCGGGGTGTCTTTGAATTAATTCCTCTGTAGGTCGATCATTTTCCTTTCTATCAAACGATGGGACATCCTTACGTTCCTAACACATCACCCCGTCCATGTCAGTATAGAGATCCAGCAAGAGATTTTTCCCCATTGAGATCTGATGCTCATAATATCATGACCACCCACCTAATACTGAGTAGATCCCCCTTTTCCTGACCCATCCAGGCGTGGCCTCCACTAGACCTCTGAAGGTACGCTGTGGTATCTGAGACAAACCAGGTTCCTTTGAGTCCTGTAGGTTGGGAGGTGGGGCCTCCAAGGATTGGAATTGTATTTCCAGCACATCCTACAGATGCTTGATAGGATGGAGATCTGGAGAATTTGGAGGGCCATGCCAATAACTGTGAATGTTGAATTCCTCAAACCATTCTTGAACCATGCTTGCAGTTTGACAGGGTGGATTATCCTGCTGAAAGAGGCCACCGCCACCAGGGAATACCATTTCCATGAAGGGGTGTACTTGTCACCAACAATGTTTAGGTACTGTAGGGGGTACGTGTCCATCCACATGAATGGCAGGAGCCAAGGCTTCCCAGCAGAACATTGCCCAAAGCATCACATGGCCTCCGCTGGCTTGTCTTCTCCCCATACTGCATCCTGGTGCCATCTCTTCCCCAGGTAAGTGACGCACACCCACCTTGCCATTCACATGATGTAAGAGAAAATGTGATTCATCAGACCAGGCCACCTTCTTCCATGATCTTCTTCTGATCAGCCATAACATCATGACCACCCACTATAACCCACCCAGACATGGACTCCTCTAGACCTCTGAAGGTACGCTGTGGTATCAGGCACCAAGCCGTAAGCAGCAGATCCTTGAGGTCTTTGAAGTTGGGAGGTGGGACCTCCATGGATCGTACTTGTTTTTCCAGCAGATCCCAGGAATGCTTGTTTGGATTGAGATTTGGAGAATATGGAGGTCAAGTCATCACCTCAAGCTCTCTGTCATGTTCCTCAAATCATTCTGAATTCCTCAGACCAGGCCACCTCCTTCCATTGCTCCGTGGTCCAGATCTGAGGCTCCCGTGCCCATTGTAGGAGCTTTTGGCTGTGGACACGGGTCAGCATGGACACGCTGACCGGTCTGCAGCTACACAGCCCCGTACACAGCAAACTGCCAAGAACATTGTTTTTGCTTTCAACACATCAACTTCAGGGACAACATGTTCATCTGTAGACATGTGTAGAACAAGAAAAATGTGTTTCGGATCGATTTGTTAAGTTACTAATTTGGTTTTGTTGCATTTGTAACAAAATTTGTTACATTTAGTTTAGTTTTGTTTCATTTATCTGTTTTTGCCCAGATTTGAAATTTTTCAAAGTATTCAAATTAAATTCAAATAAAACATATTCAAATATTCAAATGAAGAATATCTGGTGCTATTCTATTTGAAATTCAAAATTCGAATTGAAGATGGCTATATTCTTTGTTTTATTCTTGATCTGTAGAGCCTTCTAGCTCTAACCTGAAGTAACCTTTGTTTTCAATTTTGTTTTAAAATTTGTTTTGAATTTGTTTTGAATTCCATTTGAATTCAGATAATTAGTTTATCCCACCCACTTTCAGATGTCATAGTAACTAGATAATCCATGTTATTTACTCAACTTGTCAGTGGATATGGCAGATTGGCGTATAATAATGTTTGAAATAAAGGAAGGTTTTGTTGTCTCAATAATCACATAATACATTCACTGGTTACATTTTATAACATTTTAACATAATACTCAACTGTTTTTCCTGTTGATCCTGCCAGTAAATCTGATGTTTTTCTATTTCTTTAACAGGTCAAGCTCTCCAAAAAAGTTTCAGCTACAGGGATTGGGACAAACCATAGAAAATACTGCCGGGGGTGCTTACAATGGTCAGCTTTTAGTAATATGGTTTAAACCTTTTATGCTAAATTAAAAAAAAACACCATTCCTATTATTGCTTAAATAGGGTTGGGCTTGATGTTTGAGTCGTACACTTATGTCATCGGTGGGGGGGGGCGCTCTTTCTTGTCCTGTCCCCCCTTTCTGATGTACCAGGCTGTATGCTGAGATAAGGGTCTGGTATGAATTTTGGGGGGGACCTCCATGCCATTTTAGAAAAAAAAATGGTGTGGGGGTTGCCCTCAAAATCCATACCAAACCCGAAGGGCTTGGTATGGATGGGGGGGGGGGGGACCCTGCGCCATTTAAAAAGAAAAAAAAATCAATTGCCGACACTTATTTTTTGCTATTCGCTTGCCACGCCCCACAGGGGGGATCAGGAGGGCACAATACAGGGGGGGGAGTCAGGAGGGCACAATACAGGGGGGGGAGTCAGGAGGGCACAATACAGGGGGGGGAGTCAGGAGGGCACATACAGGGGGGGGGAGTCAGGAGGGCACAATACAGGGGGGGGAGTCAGGAGGGCACAGTACAGGGGGGGGAGTCAGGAGGGCACAGTACAGGGGGGAGTCAGGAGGGCACAGTACAGGGGGGAGTCAGGAGGGCACAGTACAGGGGGGAGTCAGGAGGGCACAGTACAGGGGGGAGTCAGGAGGGCACAGTACAGGGGGGAGTCAGGAGGGCACAGTACAGAGGGAGTCAGGAGGGAACAGTACAGAGGGAGTGAGGAGGGCACAGTACAGGCAGGATCAGGAGGGCACAATACAGAGGGGGTCAGGAGGGCACAATACAGAGGGAGTCAGGAGGGCACAATACAGAGGGAGTCAGGAGGGCACAGTACAGAGGGAGTCAGGAGGGCACAGTACAGAGGGAGTCAGGAGGGCACAGTACAGAGGGAGTCAGGAGGGCACAGTACAGAGGGAGTCAGGAGGGCACAGTACAGAGGGAGTCAGGAGGGCACAGTACAGAGGGAGTCAGGAGGGCACAGTACAGAGGGAGTCAGGAGGGCACAGTACAGAGGGAGTCAGGAGGGCACAGTACGGGGGGAGTGAGGAGGGCACAGTACAGGCAGGATCAGGAGGGCACAATACAGAGGGAGTCAGGAGGGCACAGTACAGGGGGGAGTCAGGAGGGCACAGTACAGGGGGGAGTCAGGAGGGCACAATACAGAGGGAGTCAGGAGGGCACAATACAGAGGGAGTCAGGAGGGCACAATACAGAGGGAGTCAGGAGGCACAATACAGAGGGAGTCAGGAGGGCACAGTACAGGGGGGAGTCAGGAGGGCACAGTACAGGGGGGAGTCAGGAGGGCACAGTACAGGGGGGGTGTCAGGAGGGCACAGTACAGGGGGGAGTCAGGAGGGCACAGTACAGGGGGGAGTCAGGAGGGCACAGTACAGGGGGGAAGTCAGGAGGGCACAGTACAGGGGGGAGTCAGGAGGGCACAGTACAGGGGGGAGTCAGGAGGGCACACAGTACAGGGGGGAGTCAGGAGGGCACAGTACAGGGGGGAGTCAGGAGGGGGCAACAGTACAGGGGGGAGTCAGGAGGGCACAGTACAGGGGGAGTCAGGAGGGCACAATACTGGGATCAGGAGGGCACAGTACAGGGGGGAGTCAGGAGGGCACAGTACAGAGGGGAGTAAGGAGGGCACAATACTGGGGATCAGGAGGGCACAGTACAGGGGGAGTCAGGAGGGCACAATTCTAGGATCAGGAGAGCACAGTACAGGGGAGTCAGGAGGGCACAATTCTAGGATCAGAAGGGCATAATACAGGGGGATCAGGAGGGCACAATACAGGGGGATCAGGATGGGCACAATACAGGGGGATCAGGAGGGCACAATACAGGGGGATCAGGAGTGTACAAGAAAGCACCTTCGCTGACCTCAAATTTGAAACCATGATCCTTGTTAAACCACTTCAGCCTGAGGATGTACCGGCACATCCTAAGGGCATGAAATGATAATTTATTCTATAAAAGGGTCATAAAACAATGTGCTAATGCTAGTGACAGACTGGGGTTTACTAAACCTGGAGAGTGCAAAATCTGGTGCAGCTGTGCATGGGAGCCAATCAGCTTCTAACTTCAGCGTGTTCAATGAAACGTTGACAATAAAACCTGGAAGCTGATTGGTTCCTACGCAGAGCTGCACCTGATTTTTGCATTCCTACATACCGGTACGTCCTAAAGGCATGAAATGATCATTTGTTTAAAGCTTGCCCGCCGCCCTATAGTAGAAATACTGCTACAGGGCGGCAGGGCTGTGCAAAATCATGTATATATTGTGGGGTTAGCTCAGGTGGGGGATCTCCTTCCCTGGGACAAAGGTAGACCGCACAGCAGGCTTTTGTCAAAATCTGACTGGTTGTCAGCTTTATTTAAAAGGTTTGCAGAAAAATAAACAAAACATGAAAATAAATCCTTGCCATCCAGGCACTAACTAAACAAAAGGCTTTTCCTCTCTCAGAGGTGAAGGGCTTCTCCCTGTCACCAAAATAAAACAAAAAGCAAACCTTTTCTTGTAGGTATAGTCCATACACACAGCTCCCTCAGAACACCTCTCTGAGTCCCAGGCCCCAGGCCCAAGAGCAACTCCTTGCTCCAGCCCTGCCCTTTTTATACCTACCTGTTGGTGGAGATCAGTGGAGTCCAAACTCTGGTCCGGAACCACCTGCTTAACTGTGGCCCCGAAAACCCGGAGTGGACTCCACCTAAAACGGTCAGGTATGAGCATATGCGAGGTGACACATAGCGTCCCTCTATCACCTCGCCGTTCATACCTGTCACATATCCCCCCCCTCTGCTCAAGCCCCTGCGGGCTGAGCAAACTGTTCCAACCAGACAATGGACCGGGAGAGGGCATCTACATTATTTTGCAGTTTCCCCGCTCTGTGTTCCACTGTGAATTTGAACACTTGTAGCGCGAGAAACCACCTTGTCACTCGACTGTTTTTCTCCTTTATTATCACACATCCATTTGAGCGGGGCATGATCAGGTAACAACAACTTGAACGGTCTTCCTAACAGGTAATATTTCAGGGCCTCCAAGGCCCATTTGATGGCCAAACATTCCTTCTCCACAATGGCATAGTTTCTCTCATGTTTGTTGAGCTTTCTACTTAGGAAGACCACAGGGTGCTCCTCCCCATCTCTGATTTGGGACAGTGTAACCGCACCTAGTCCCACGTCAGAGGCATCAGTCTGTACCACAAACTCTGTGGTGAAATCTGGGGTCACAAGCACAGGTTGAGCACAGAGAGCTTGTTTCAGCCTTTGAAATGCGGTCCTTCCGCCTCGGGATTCCAACTTAATCATGACTGACCCCCCCTACCTTTGTCAGATCTGTCAGTGGGGCTGCAATGGTGGCAAAAATTGGGGATAAACCGCCTGTAGTACCCCGTGATTCCAAGAAATGCCCGGACTTGTTTTTTATTTACAGGTTGGGGCCACTTTTGAATTGCCTCAATTTTATTGATCTGAGGCCTAATGAGACCTCGACCAATGATGTAGCCAAGATATTTGGCCTCCTCTAAGCCAATGGCACACTTTCTGGGGTTGGCGGTAAGACCTGCTTCCCGCAGCGAATCTACGACCCCAAGCTTGCAAGAGGGACAAATGAGATTCCCAGTCGGGACTGTGGATGACGACATCGTCCAAGTAGGCAGCTGCATATTGGCGATGTGGTCTCAACGTCTTGTCCATCATCCTTTGGAATGATGCAGGAGCCCCATGCAAACCAAACGGCATCCGCTTATACTGAAAGGACCCCTCGGGGGTGGAGAATGCTGTCTTTTCTTTTGCAGCTTCCGTTAACGGAATCTGCCAATAGCCTTTGGTCAGATCTAAGGTGGTTATGTACCGAGCCGTTCCCAACCTGTCAATGAGCTCATCCACCCGAGCTATCGGGTACGCATCAAACTTGGACACACTGTTCAGTTTCCTGAAATCATTACAGAATCGAATTGTTCCATCTGGTTTTGGGACCAACACTATGGGACTAACGACCACTCACTGTGAGATTCCTCAATCACTCCCAACTCTAAACATGTCCTTTATTTTCCTTTGCCACCGCTTCCCGCCCTGGCCTCGGGTATTCTATAGGGCTGGACATTTACGCGGACCCCGGGCTGGGTAACTATGTCATGCTGTATGACAGTCGTCAGTCCAGGTAGGTGGGAGAAGAAATCTCCATTTTTCCTCACAAACTCCTTAACCTCATTTTGTTGGGCTACTGACAAGGTTTCCGTTATAGGTACCTGAGGGCCACAGGAAACCACGTCCTTTTGGGGTCTTGGTACTGCCAACAAACTTTCCCTGTCTTTCCAAGGTTTTAAGAGATTCACATGATAGATTTGTTCAGGTTTCCTTTTTCCTGGCCCGCATGGTAAACTTTATAATTTACTTCCCCCACTTTCTCCCTAATTTCAAAGGGACCTTGCCACTTTGCGAGGAATTTACTTTCCACGGTGGGGACTAGCACCAGCACTCTATCCCCAGGGTTGAAGGTTACGGATCCTGGCACCCCGGTTATAAACCCTTCTCTGGACCTCACCTGGGCTTGCTCCATGTGTTCCCGAACAAGTGGCATGACAGCTGCGATTCTATCCTGCATCTGTGAGATATGCTCAATGACACTTCTATAGGGTGTGGTCTCTCCCTCCCAGGTTTCTTTTGCGACATCTAGCAATCCCCCTGGGATGTCTACCATACAGTAATTCAAAAGGTGAATTTCGCCTGTAGATGCCTGCCTGAGGTACTTCTCGTATAGCAAACATGAGATATGGTAGCAAAAAATATCCAATTTCTCCCATCTTTGTCCACCACCTTTTTTTAACATATTTTCTTAAGGGGTCTTGTTAAACCTTTCCACAAGCCCATCGGTTTGGGGGTGGTAGACCGAGGTACGGAGATGGGGAGATTTTGAACAATTTGCATAAATCTTTCATAACTCTAGACATAAATGGCGTGCCCTGATCCGTTTATACCTCCTTTGGGATACCTACACGACTAAACACCCGGACAAGCTCTTTAGCGATATTTTTAGCGGAAGTATTACGCAAAGGGATGGCTTCAGGATACCCGGGTGGCATAGTCAAGTATAACCAGTATGTGCTGATGGCCCTGGGCAGAACTTTACTACTGGGACCCACTAGGTCCATGCCCACTCTTTCAAACGGTACTTCAATTATGGGTAGAGGTACTAGCGGAACTGCGAAAATGGGGGTGAGGGCGCAGAATATTGACATTCCCGGGCATGACTCACAATGTGATTTGACGTCTCCATGTAAGCCTGGCCAAAAGAATCTCTGGGTTATTCTCTCCTTTGTTTTCTCTACGCCCAAGTGTCCACCTCATTATATGCCCATGGGCTAAATCTAGTACCATCCGGCGAAAGGGTGTTTGGGGACCACTAACTGTTCTAGCACCTCCTCCCCTTGCTTTACCACTTGATACAGCAAGTTATTGTTAAGAGCCATGTAGGGAAAAGACACCGCCACATACATTTTCAACTGGTTCCCCATCAATCATTTTAATGTTTTCAACGGGCTCTGTTAAGTGTGGAATCTTTCAGTTTGTGTTCCGTACAAAAATCCTCTTTTCTGACCTCTAGGTCAGGCACCAACATTCTGTCCACTCTCACTAGAGCCAGCGATTCATCTCTTGTTCTATATCCTCACTGTCTGGGGTTGGATCCAACTCCTCCTGCTCCCCAGCCATTACAGAGAAAGGAAAAAGATCTACACCTTCCTCGGATACACCAACAGTTTCCCCTTCCACCTTGCCGTCAAAGGGGTCAGGAGTGAGTTCAGGAGTTTTCGGCGTTTCCCCAGCAGGGGGAGCTCGGTCCTCCTGACTCCCCTCCTTATCCCATAACTTCAGAAATGGGGAAAATCTCTCCCCACTATGGCTTCATGAAGCAGAGAGGGCACCACCCCCACTGAATGGGTCACAGGGCCCCAGGGAGTAACCAATCTCCACCAGAGCAGTCTGGTAATTACGTGTATCACCATGAATACAAATAACCCCAATCGTGCTAGGGTGTAACCTTGCAGGGTTTACCAAATCACTCTTAAACAAGGTCACAACACTACCGAGTCTAGCAGAGCAGTTACTGGCTTTTCATCAATGGCAATCACACACATTTGCTTTTTCCATGCGTTTCTGACATGCTGCAGTACATACCACCTGTGCAAAAAGGACATGCGTTTTCCTAAATAAGCATTTTCACATTGCATAGGTTCATCATTTAAAAGGACAGTTTGCAGCAATATGACCTAACGCATGACACCGATAACATTTGATATGTTCAGTGCTTAGACCTCTAAATGGCCTTGGGGACCTTCCTGACCTATTTGGCCAGTCTCTAGGTCCTAAGCCTACAGTCTCATGATCTGACACAATAGTCTTATCATTTTTTTCTGAGCCTTTGGGCCCATGGAACAGTCTTAACCGGATCCTCCGGATAGTTTTCCACCCCTAGTGACCTTGGGGTACGGCCCAGGTGAGTGCCAAAAGTCCTCAGCGGCTGCATATCTCTCCACCAGGTCCACCAGCATCATTTGCAGATTTAGGGTCTCCACGGCCAACCCACTTCCTCAAAGTGGCAGGGAGTGCACGTAAATATTGGTCCATGACCCACACGCTCCACAATCTGAGGGCCTGACAATAACCTCTGGCTGGAGCCACTTTTTGGAGAGATGTATCAAATCGAACATCTGAGATCTGGGTGGTTTGTCAGCCCTGTAATGCCACTGATGCACCCGCTGAGCCCGGACTGCAATGGTGACGCCCAGGCGTGCAAGGACCTCAGCCTTCAGTTTCTCATAGTCCTGGGCATCCCCTGGTTCCAGGTCATAATAGGCTTTTTGGGATTCACCCGTCAGAAAATGGCGCAAGCAGTCCTGCCCATTGCTCCTTTTTCCATCCTTCCCGAACAGCAACCCTTTCAAAAGTTGTGAGGTAGGCCTCCACATCATCCGCAGGTGTCATCTTCTGCAAAACATAGCTGGCCCGCGCCATTTTTCTGCTCCACTGGCAGCGGATCTGCAGAGATTCCTTCTTTAATTCCAATAGGTTGTTGGGCCACCTGCTTAAGGAGCTCTCGGTCTGCTTGTTGGGCTTCATGTTGTGCTTGTTGGGCTTCCGACAACTGGCGATTCGTCTCCCGTTGTGCTGCGTTGGCCTGCAGCAAGGCTCTTATAACTTCCTCCATCTTCCCACTTGCTCAGGAAGTTGCCCGCATCCTCCACCATATGTGGGGTTTAGCTCAGGTGGGGGATCTCCTTCCCTGGGACAAAGGTAGACCGCACAGCAGGCTTTTTGTCAAAATCTGACTGGTTGTCAGCTTTATTTAAAAGGTTTGCAGAAAAATAAAAACAAAACATGAAAATAAATCCTCTTGCCATCCAGGCACTAACTAAACAAAAGGCTTTTCCTCTCTCAGAGGTGAAGGGCTTCTCCCTGTCACCAAAATAAAACAAAAAGCAAACCTTTTCTTGCAGGTATAGTCCATACACACAGCTCCCTCAGAACACCTCTCTGAGTCCCAGGCCACGAGCAACTCCTTGCTCCAGCCCTGCCCTTTTTTTACCACCTGTTGGTGGAGATCAGTGGAGTCCAAACTCTGGTCCGGAACCACCTGCTTAACTGTGGCCCCGAAAACCCGGAGTGGACTCCACCTAAACGGTCAGGTATGAGCATATGCGAGGTGACACATAGCGTCCCTCTATCACCTCGCCGTTCATCCTGTCACAATATATATACGTGATTTGCATTTCCGGGTAGGGCGCATGTGCACCACCCTACCCGCGCTGTCATTCGCGGCTAGGAATACCAATCACCGGTCCCAGTTGGAGATTTTCCACCGGCACCTGGCGATTGCTGAGGAACACTGACAGGGGAGAGACCTGTGTGTAAACACCACCGATCTCTCTCCTGCCAGCAAGGACATGCTGCTTTGCATCTCTCTGCACAGCATGTCTCCCTAGCAATTACACACACAGCACACAGTTAACCCTTTGATCATCCAAATGTTAACCCCTTCCTGCCCAGTGCCAGTGCTTTTTATTAGCACTGATCACTGTGTTGGTGTCACTAGGAATGTCAGTGGCAGTTAGTCAGTCCCTCCCCCCCCCCCCTGCCCCAGTATCAGAATTCCCTGCCGCAGTCCCGTTAGAAGTCGCTGATCGTCCCCAATACTAGTATAAAAATAAAAAAAAATCCCAGTATCTATACCGCCATTTGTAGACTGTAACGGAACCGGAACCCGACCACTCTTGGGTATATTCCGTTATACCGCAGTTTCCGCTGTCCGAACACCATCCATGGACCCCACCCTTGAAATCCCTCAGGAAAAAGACAGCACCCAGCTCTTCTTAATACAGGAAGCCAACTCCCTTTATTTTAACACAAAACACAGGATATATACAGAGGCGGGGAAACACAACCAAGAACAGGAAATACATCATCACCCCTCCCCATCCCACACAAGACACAGAACAATGGGATGAAGCACATGGCAAAGGACATTGACCAACCCCCACACCAGTACACAAACAGTACATCCCATAATAGTTGGCTGGCCAGCAAGGCACAGCACAATGGGGGGTCGGTAGCACATGGCAAACAATGGACAGCCATGTGGCCTAGACAAAGGACAACACACTATACACAAGACTCAGACATTCACATACACACCCTGTACCCCTTTAAACAGGCACAGGGTGGGTTAAACATAATGATTTGGGGAGATTGATACAGAGGCCCCCCCACCCCCAAAAGTTACTCCCGTCACATAGACGCTATAACTTTCATGTAAAACCAATAAATTTACACGTATTCGGATTTCGTTTTAGCAAAGACACGGAGCAGAATATATTTTGGCCGAAATTTACAATGAAATTTGATTTTTTTCAATTTTATTGGATATGTTTTATAGCAAAAAAGTCAAAAACTTTTTTTTTTTTTTTTCAAAATTGTCGTTTTTTTGATTATAGCACAAAAAATAAAAAACTGCAGAGGTGATCAAATACCACGGAAAGAAAGCTTTATTTGTGGGAAAAAAGGAGATAGATTGCATTTGGATGCAGCGTTGCACGACCGCGCAATTGTCAGTTAAAGTAACACAGTTTCGTATCCAGGGGCGGACTGACAACTCATGGGGCCCCCGGGCCATAGGGGATCATGGGGCCCCTGTGTCCTCGCCCACACTCAAACCAAACCCAAAAAAAGGCTATGAAAGGTACCAGGGCATCTCATGGGGCCCCCTACTGACCCCGGGCCCTCGGGCAGTGCCGAGTTTCCAAATGGTCAGTCCGCCCCCGGTCGTATCACAAAAAATGGCCTAGTCAGGAAGGGGGGGGGGGGGGGAGAATCCTCTGAAGGATGAGGGGTTAAAAAAAAAAAAAAAGAGTAATAAAACACTGTGTCAATGCATGTGACAGACGGCGTCATATAGGTCATTTTTAAACTTGTATCCAGAGTTCCATGCCAGAGTTTTTGGGAATCGATAGTTTGCTGCTCTTGAACCCCCCGAAGCAGCAGTCTGCCTCCAACAGTTTAAGAGCAAAAAGTCCTCTTTCATTTTAATTTGACACTTTATCATTTAAAAAACGGTTATTTATATACATATATTGAGCAATTAAAAAAAGAAGAGACGTTTTGAATTTACAAAATAAATCATCGCTTCCCACGTCCCCCATGGCTGACAACTTTATCTCCTCTCATTTTTCAGAATGTATGAAGTAATTTAGCTTCTGAGCTGTTTTATTTCTCCAGTCATGTTAAAATAAAATGTCTTAAAAGCAATTTTATTAATTGGGGAAAGTGCCGTATTGAAGAGGCGTTTTCACTATCGGGATGAATTTGCTACATTTTTTAGCAGCAAAAAAAGTGTTTCTCCACTTAGGAACGCTCATAATATTATTATGAATTTTTTTTGCCTTTTTTTTTTTTTCCATTTTGGAAAATAACTTAATGAAATGGTTACCAACCCTGACATCACGATAATATTTATAGGTTTAAAAAGCAAAATCTTCCATTTTCCAAAATGTTTTTCAAGAATTTAATACGTTTATATTATAGAAACATAATATAAAAGATCTATATAGGGGAATTAGGACCTCCTTCCTCCTGCCGGTGACCCCTCTAGTGATAGGATCTTTATGGAGGAATCAGGACCTCCTTCCTCCTGCCGGTGACCCCTCTAGTGATAGGATCTATATAGAGGAATCAGGACCTCCTTCCTCCTGCCGGTGACCCCTCTAGTGATATAAAGATCTATATAGAGGACTCAGGACCTCCTTCCTCCTGCCGGTGACCCCTCTAGTGATAGGATCTATATAGAGGAATCAGGACCTCCTTCCTCCTGCCGGTGACCCCTCTAGTGATAGGATCTATATAGAGGAATCGGGACCTCCTTCCTCCTGCCGGTGACCCTCTAGTGATAGGATCTATATAGAGGAATCGGGACCTCCTTCCTCCTGCCCGGTGACCCCTCTAGTGATAGGATCTATATAGAGGAATCGGGACCTCCTTCCTCCTGCCAGTGATCCCTCTAGTGATATAAAGATCTATATAGAGGAATCAGGACCTCCTTCCTCCTGCCGGTGACCCCTCTAGTGATATACAGATCTATATAGAGGAATCAGGACCTCCTTCCTCCTGCCGGTGACCCCTCTAGTGATAGGATCTATATAGAGGAATCGGGACCTCCTTCCTCCTGCCGGTGACCCCTCTAGTGATAGGATCTATATAGAGGAATCAGGACCTCCTTCCTCCTGCCGGTGACCCCTCTAGTGATATAAAGATCTATATAGAGGACTCAGGACCTCCTTCCTCCTGCCGGTGACCCCTCTAGTGATAGGATCTATATAGAGGAATCAGGACCTCCTTCCTCCTGCCGGTGACCCCTCTAGTGATAGGATCTATATAGAGGAATCGGGACCTCCTTCCTCCTGCCGGTGACCCCTCTAGTGATAGGATCTATATAGAGGAATCGGGACCTCCTTCCTCCTGCCGGTGACCCCTCTAGTGATAGGATCTATATAGAGGAATCGGGACCTCCTTCCTCCTGCCAGTGATCCCTCTAGTGATATAAAGATCTATATAGAGGAATCAGGACCTCCTTCCTCCTGCCGGTGACCCCTCTAGTGATATACAGATCTATATATAGAGGAATCAGGACCTCCTTCCTCCTGCCGGTGACCCCTCTAGTGATAGGATCTATATAGAGGAATCGGGACCTCCTTCCTCCTGCCGGTGACCCCTCTAGTGATAGGATCTATATAGAGGACTCAGGACCTCCTTCCTCCTGCCGGTGACCCCTCTAGTGATATACAGATCTATATAGAGGAATCGGGACCTCCTTCCTCCTGCCGGTGACCCCTCTAGTGATATAAAGATCTATATAGAGGAATCAGGACCTCCTTCCTCCTGCCGGTGACCCCTCTAGTGATAGGATCTATATAGAGGAATCAGGACATCCTTCCTCCCGCCAGTGACCCCTCTAGTGATAGGATCTATATAGAGGAATCGGGACCTCCTTCCTCCTGCCAGTGATCCCTCTAGTGATAGGATCTATATAGAGGACTCAGGACCTCCTTCTTCCTGCCGGTGACCCCTTTGGTGATATAAAGATCTATATAGAGGAATCGGGACCTCCTTCCTCCTGCCGGTGACCCCTCTAGTGATAGGATCTATATGGAGGAATCAGGACCTCCTTCCTCCTGCCGGTGACCCCTCTAGTGATAGATCTATATAGAGGAATCAGGACCTCCTTCCTCCTGCCGGTGACCCCTCTAGTGATAGGATCTATATAGAGGAATCGGGACCTCCTTCCTCCCGCCGGTGACCCCTCTAGTGATAGGATCTATATAGAGGAATCAGGACCTCCTTCCTCCTGCCGGTGACCCCTCTAGCGATAGGATCTATATAGAGGAATCGGGACCTCCTTCCTCCTGCCGGTGACCCCTCTAGTGATAGGATCTATATAGAGGAATCAGGACCTCCTTCCTCCTGCCAGTGATCCCTCTAGTGATATAAAGATCTATATAGAGGACTCAGGACCACCTTCCTCCTGCCGGTGACCCCTCTAGTGATAGGATCTATATAGAGGAATCAGGACCTCCTTCCTCCTGCCAGTGATCCCTCTAGTGATATAAAGATCTATATAGAGGAATCGGGACCTCCTTCCTCCTGCCGGTGACCCCTCTAGTGATATACAGATCTATATAGAGGAATCAGGACCTCCTTCCTCCTGCCGGTGACCCCTCTAGTGATAGGATCTATATAGAGGAATCAGGACCTCCTTCGTCCTGCCGGTGACCCCTCTAGTGATAGGATCTATATAGAGGAATCAGGACCTCCTTCCTCCTGCCGGTGACCCCTCTAGTGATAGGATCTATATAGAGGAATCAGGACCTCCTTCCTCCTGCCGGTGACCCTCTAGCGATAGGATCTATATAGAGGAATCGGGACCTCCTTCCTCCTGCCGGTGACCCCTCTAGTGATAGGATCTATATAGAGGAATCGGGACCTCCTTCCTCCTGCCGGTGACCCCTCTAGTGATAGGATCTATATAGAGGAATCGGGACCTCCTTCCTCCTGCCAGTGATCCCTCTAGTGATATAAAGATCTATATAGAGGAATCAGGACCTCCTTCCTCCTGCCGGTGACCCCTCTAGTGATATAAAGATCTATATAGAGGACTCATGACCTCCTTCCTCCCGCCGGTGACCCCTCTAGTGATATACAGATCTATATAGAGGAATCGGGACCTACTTCCTCCTGCCGGTGACCCCTCTAGTGATATAAAGATCTATATAGAGGAATCGGGACCTCCTTCCTCCTGCCAGTGATCCCTCTAGTGATATAAAGATCTATATAGAGGAATCAGGACCTCCTTCCTCCTGCCGGTGACCCCTCTAGTGATAGGATCTATATAGAGGAATCAGGACATCCTTCCTCCCGCCAGTGACCCCTCTAGTGATATAAAGATCTATATAGAGGAATCAGGACCTCCTTCCTCCTGCCGGTGACCCCTCTAGTGATATAAAGATCTATATAGAGGACTCAGGACCTCCTTCCTCCTGCCGGTGACCCCTTTGGTGATATAAAGATCTATATAGAGGAATCAGGACCTCCTTCCTCCTGCCGGTGACCCCTCTAGTGATAGGATCTATATAGAGGAATCAGGACCTCCTTCCTCCTGCCGGTGACCCCTCTAGTGATAGGATCTATATAGAGGAATCAGGACCTCCTTCCTCCCCCGGTGACCCCTCTAGTGATAGGATCTATATAGAGGATTCGGGACCTCCTTCCTCCTGCCGGTGACCCCTCTAGTGATAGGATCTATATAGAGGAATCAGGACCTCCTTCCTCCTGCCGGTGACCCCTCTAGTGATAGGATCTATATAGAGGAATCAGGACCTCCTTCCTCCTGCCGGTGACCCCTCTAGTGATAGGATCTATATAGAGGAATCAGGACCTCCTTCCTCCTGCCGGTGACCCCTCTAGTGATATATAGATCTATATAGAGGAATCGGGACCTCCTTCCTCCTGCCGGTGACCCCTCTAGTGATATAAAGATCTATATAGAGGAATCGGGACCTCCTTCCTCCTGCCGGTGACCCCTCTAGTGATATAAAGATCTATATAGAGGAATCGGGACCTCCTTCCTCCTGCCGGTGACCCCTCTAGCGATATAAAGATCTATATAGAGGAATCGGGACCTCCTTCCTCCTGCCGGTGACCCCTCTAGCAATATAAAGATCTATATAGAGGAATCAGGACCTCCTTCCTCCCGCCGGTGATTCCTCTAGTAATATAAAGATCTATATAGAGGAATCGGGACCTCCTTCCTCCTGCCGGTGACCCCTCTAGTAATATAAAGATCTATATAGAGGAATCGGGACCTCCTTCCTCCCGCCGGTGACCCCTCTAGTGATATAAAGATCTATATAGAGGAATCGGGACCTCCTTCCTCCTGCCGGGTGACCCCTCTAGTGATATAAAGATCTATATAGAGGGATCGGGACCTCCTTCCTCCTGCCGGTGATCCCTCTAGTGATATAAAGATCTATATAGAGGAATCAGGACCTCCTTCCTCCTGAAAGTGGTGCAGCCCCGGCCAGAAATGTGCTGACGCATTACAAATCACACTGACATTTAAGTATTATATTTATTCTATATGCTATACCTCCCCATGGTGAACAAATGTTTAAAAAGCAACATTGTAGGTGGATGTCAGGCTTTATCATTTATGCAGCCAAATAGTCTCCTTTTTTGACTGAGATTTCCTTGTCTCTGAGCAAATACAGCTTTGTATAGAAA